GACAGAGATACAGGAGGAGGGAGAAGCAGGCTCCATGCCGGGAGCCCGACGCGGGACTCGATCCCAGGACTCCAGGATCACGCCCTGGGCCAAAGGCAGGCGCCAAACCACTGAGCCACCCAGGGATCCCCTCTTCATTAACTTTAAAACACGTTGAATTATTCATCCTTAAAAAGCACCACATAGCATCGTAGAGATGATAGCATCCCATGTGCCATTCCAAGAAAAGGGTTTGCAGCTAAGTGAGGTGCTAGAATGTGGTGGTAGGGCACACCTGTGTTCTGAGAGAGCTAACCAAGTCTACTACAGTTAAAGAAAAGACACTTTTACAACACCTTGTGGCAAGTATTTTCATTGGGAACACGTACTCTGACCAAAGATCAGAACTACTTAGTGTGCATGGAAGTCATATTTTTAGAATGTTGTGAAAAATGGAGAAGTATATGAAAGGCATTCTAGCTTTAGGAAATAATGCTAGTGGGGATTTTAGATTAAAGAGGTAATAAGATCTGCCTAGCAGAGTGAAGAGAGATGGTTTAGTAGTGAAAAATAAGGTTATCAGACAAGTAAATGGCAGGCTGGAAAATAAAAATGTATCATTTGGATGGCAGGAAGCCATTGCCTGTTTTTCAAAAAGCAAGATATTGAAGTTATCATACCCTCCGCATCATTTAACTTGAACGCTAAAGAAGCGATCCTGGAGCTCGAGTGACAATGGGAGGGACAAATTGTAGTAGTCCTGCTCAAAGATTAGCGTCCAATTTATGAATTTATTTCAGGGGTTGAGGTTCAAGAGTAGATCAAATATAATATGAAGAACCAGACAGTTCTACAAAACTGGATACAAGTAACAAAGGACAAAGAATAGTTGCAGACCAGCCTCTTCTGTGGAAGGCAGGCATAATGTTCTGATTAAGAATGTGGAGTTTGGGGATCCCTGGGTGGCGCAGCGGTTTGGCACCTGCCCTTGGCCCAGGGCGCGATCCTGGAGCCCCCGGGATCGAATCCCACGTCGGGCTTCTGATGCATGGAGCCTGCTTCTCCCTCTGCCTGTGTCTCTGCCTCTCTCTGTGACTATCATAAATAAATAAAAAATTAAAAAAAAAAAAAGAACGTGGAGTTTGGGACTGTTGGGGGGGGTGTGTGGAAGAGCCCTGTCTTCACCATGTAAGTGTGAGATGGTGATGAAGTACTGGGATTGTATATAGTTCAGCTAAAGTCAATCAGATTTACTAAAGTACTGTCCTCAACAGATAAAAATGTGAATCTTGGGAAGGGATTCATCCAGGTGAGTCATGTAGGGATCACCTGGGGGAGACATGGGCAACACCCCCTCCAGTGTCTGGCCCTAAGTCCAAGAATTAGCACTGCATAAACTGACCCAATCCAAAGTCTGAAGAGGAGGAAATAGTTCTTACGGTGTGATAGGCCAAGATTTCCAACTCTCAAAAATCAACAGAGATGCTTGTTGTAATAAAGAGGTGTTTGTGGTCCTCAGGGGAGGGAAGGGGGGGTGAGGCAGGTTGCAGTCATCTCCCTGTGGCCACCTGAGCTGGGGTACAGACTCAGCACATGAGCCAGCAGCCAAAAGAGCCCACGAAGTGCCACAGCTGCTTCTCTAACAGAATTCCAGAGGTCTGAGTGATGGAGGGACACAGAAACTCTTGGCTGCAGCTGTCCAGTATTGCCTCTTGCCCTTTGGCTAACAGAGAGGCTAAGAGCTGGTGGCTGGGCAGGAGTGGGCAGGAAGGATTTCCCATGCTTGTTGAACCACATCCCTCATGTCCAAGAGGCCACTCACCTGGCTGCAGTTGAAGAGCCAGGGTCACCTGCACTTCAGAAGCACTTCTCATCTGTGCTTCGGGAAGTGCTTGACCAAGATGCCCTGGCACTGTTGAAGTAAGGGAAAGCAAAGTAGTCTATGGGAACATGGTAAAATGTTCTGTCAGAGATCTAGAGGAGCACAGAGAAGGGAGATAAGGAAGATACCCAGTAACAGAGGAAGAAGTACAACAAGGAGCCTTCATGGAGCTTACATTTTCCATGGGTTAGACAGGTAAATGAAAAACACACAAATAAGCCAACCATTGTGTACAGATAATGATAGTAGGTGTCCTGAAGACAAAACAGGATGGTATGCAGTTTGCAGAGTGGAGTTGAAGTGGGAAGCCACCTGGTTTGGGTGCACTGGCCCCTGTGATTACTGGCAATTGAACTAAAACTGAAAGAATGAGAAGCATTTAGCCATGGGTAAGCCAGCGGGAAAGCATTCAAGGAAAAGGAACAGTGTAAAGGCAGGAGGAGGAACAGTTGGAAGGATTTGAGACTGGGAGCAGAAGACCATGATGATTGTGGTGGCCCAGACAGGGTGTGCTGGATCACAATCATGCAGCGTGATGGAAAAGACCTCTCGGACTCCACTCAAGTTGGAAGAGTGGAAATCACAGCCAGTGTGAAGGGCAGTGTGTTTATCCTCAAGTTGGGAGGGTTGACTGGGGAATGTGTTGGGGGCCTGAGGGCTTTTGTCCCTTTTTGTCTCTGAGAAGGTTGAACCAAGCGGCTGCCCCAAAAACAAGGGCAGTAGGAAGTGGGGGGGGGGGCTGGAAAGAAGTCATAGGAAAAATTAGGAGTGATTGTTGTGTGGAACAAGAGGCCTAAAAGGTGGCCCAGCTTACAAAGGACAGTCTTCACACTGGTCCACACAGCTTCATGGCTTTCCTCCAGCAAGGCAGCCACCCCACCAGTAGAGGAGAAGCAGGTGCAGAGGCTGCATGGGGCCTTTCTGGGTAGTCAAGACAGAAGGACAGACAAGATTTTATGGAACCGGCAGTGTGGGCAAGTGATGCTGGGGTAAAGGACAAGTAGCCAACAGATGTGGACCCAAGAAGACCCAAGTAAAGAGCTTTGGGCTCATCAGAGCTCAGTGTAGACAAGAAGGAAGCGCATTGAGAGTGATGATGGCAAAGAGCCAGAGGGATGGTCTCAGGTCAGACAGGAGGTTGGCTTTAATCTTTAAGATACTTACATTGCATTACAGCTGCCATTTTGTATGTCTTTCTCCTGTCTGTATAATGAATCTATGTGTTCATTAAAGGAGAAATGGTTGGCAGGTAGCTTGAACTTCAGTGAATTCTGATCCTGGAATGAAATATTTCCTTTTAATTGTTGCATATACCTTTCTCAGCTTTTTGTCTGCTTGAAGCATATTTCTTCTTTTGCTCTTTGAGCAGCCAAAATGGATGTGTTGGATGCATTGGCTCTGTTAATAGGCCTCTATTGGACGCCTGTTGTCACTCTTAAATGTAACACCACAGCCATAATTGATGGAGAGTTGAGTTGTAAGCTTTTAGGACTAATTGCGAAGTGTAAACTAAAACATTTCCTGGAGCTGCCTTTAAATACTAATAATAATACCTTGTATAGGTTTAGTGCTTTACAATTTACAAAGCACTTCCGTATACATCATATCACTTAATCCTCACAATAAACAAGGCTTTTTGAATGCTTAGATCTTTCTTAAGTGAGAAATCAGGTTGCACATCCTGATTTAATCCTGGTGGGTCACCAGAAGTTCTTGATACAATAACCATTTATCGAGCACCTTCTATGCATAAAGCACTTTAGTAAGGATACCAAGGGGTAAATTTCCACTAAATAAATATCCAGTAAATAGTACCTATCCAATAAATGTGATCTTGCATCCCAGCCCATTGTCCCTTGCTCATCACAGCCACTATTTTGGAGGCTGCTTGCTAAACCACAAATTGATATAAATATTGTTGGGAATTCATTGTATCAGAGTTTTAAGTTTTTACAGCTAAGGATTCTGATACTTATCTAAGCTCAGTGATTTTTTTTTTTCAGCAAGTCGTTCTGTGGATTTTAGCCTGTACTTTCTTAAAGAACTTGCACAAGTAGTTGAATCTCAAAAAATACTTCCGACATCCAGCATATTTGAAAATGCCTAGCCATTGAGTTCATGTCCCGATTAAGATGATTAGGGTATGATTCCAAGAGTACAATTCGGCCCTTGGCGCCATAAGGCTGGTTATCCAGCACAAAAGAAAGCATAGTCATCTCTGGGTTCCTGAGCGGCATAGAGGAGCCTGGGGGACGGAGTCTGGGAGATGCGTAGAGGAGCCTGGGGGATGGAGGACTTCCCAGGAGGGAGCTTTGTGCCTAAGTAGGGGCGGAAGATAGCTTTGGATCCCAGCCCCCCAGGACTTGGAACCTGTGTCCAGGAGCCCCTTCATTCCAGGCACATGCTCTGAGCCACCATGGCTCCTCACACATTCTCCAGAAAGTAAAAGAACCCCAAATGATAGGAACCTTTAGAGGCCTCTGGGCAGAGCGGTCCCTCAGAGTGATGACCTGCACACCATCCTTCCTTTCCCTGTTGGGGGCACAGTCAGGCAGGGAGGGCTGATGTGGCATGTCAGGTCAGCTGAGAGCTGTTCTGTTCCTGAGACGCTGGTTACTGAGGGCATCGTTGCTCCAGCCATCTTCCTGCTTCTTGTCTGGCATCTTAATTTTATTAACTCTAGTGTTACACTACCTCTTATTCTGCTACTTATATGTCCATGTGTTTTGGGAACGGGGGAGAACAAACCCCAGTGGCCCAGTATGTTTTACTAGTGCCCTCATTTCCTGGACACACAGGTTTTTTAGAAAATTTTCCCATGATACCATCTTTTTAAATAACCGCTTCTGTGTATTTTACAAGGGAAGCTGATGTCTGGATTACCAAATTATTTCTTGGTTCTTTTGAAAAGGAACTTAGGGCATCACAAACCAAAGACCTCTTCTGGGCAGATGCTTTATTTTGACCCAGAGTATGCAGCCAGCATCTGAGCATCCCATAAATACTCCAGAGAGAAGACCACAATTAGGAGATAGGGTGGAGCGGGAGTTCGAGCATTAAGTCTAAGTGATATTTCCAACTGGGGCTGGCATCGTGCTTTAAATAACTGTGTTCTGATCATTTAGGTCTCTCTTTATAGGGCATCTTTTATGACCAAGACTGTCCAGTACCAAAATGAGCTACATAAATTCCTAATCTGGGATACAGCTGGACAAGAACGAGTAAGTCGCCCTTTAATTTACTGTGTGTTTTTCCGAGGCCCACATTAAAGCTCCCACCCGACTGTCAATGTCCCTGTCATCTCACGTTACTCACTTCTCTTCCGTGCACCAGAGACACATTTAATTCCATTTGCATAGGCCGGCCTTTTTCTTTTCAATTAGTGCCACAAAGTCCACTGATGGAGAAAGTGATAATGAGCACTGAGGGCACTTTTATACTTTTTAGTGTCTTAAAGTAAATGCTGACTAACAGGCCTGATAAAATACCGCTCAGAGCATTGTGTGTACTTTGGGGCTCCATCCTCTAGCAAAGATATAAAAGAATTAGTGGTAGAAAGGGAGAGTTAAGCACATCTCATTTATAGCTGCCTTTTAAAAGCTAAAGAGGGAACTTTATAGCATATGAAGTTTGAGATTTAAGTGAAATGGATGAGCTAACACAGAGCCGAGCAATAGGTACTTAATAAATGCCTGATGATAAAATTGTCTGAGATGGTTATCTGCTTAAGGAAGAGCCCGAACCAGAGGTGGGGCCTGGGCCATGGCATCCTAGTGCAGAGTGGGATTTGGTGAGGCCCACCTGCATCAGACAAGGGGTGGGGAGGTAGGGAAGGGAACAGACGCTTCCTGCCGCCTCATTTTCCCTCTCAGCCCGATGTCTGATTTCCCTGTCGAGGTGTGTCTGGCAGCCACCCCATTATTCAGCGGCTGTTTAATTTTGTTTTCAAACAGTACTATCAAAACAGAACATCTGATGGATGCACAGTGCTATCGTAAGCTCTTAAAAGTATACCAGAAGTAATCAGGAGAAATAGTCTGTCATCACCGTCTTATCTAAGACAGCATAGATACTGTGTATGGTATAAAATCTGACAAGAATCATCACAGACAAATGGAGGAAGACAAAACAAGCCATTACTGTTGTCCTAGGCGTAGACATCATACATTTGTACAGATTTAACGTCTTAAGTTTGCTCTGTTTGATTTCTTCTGGGTGTGTGTGTGTTTTGTTTTGTTTTGTTTTGTTTTAACACCGGATGTCATGCCCTGCTCCAATTACTCATCTGAGATATGTCTGTTTAATCTCCCATTCCCCATTCCTCCTACTTTGTTGTGTTGTGCATCTAGGATGGAGTATTTAGGACAGCTAGACCTTTTGCTAACCATCACTCTTCCATCCTTCACAAGTGTTGCTTCTCATAGTCTCTGAATATATCTATAGATACAGCCTTGGCGTCTGTCCTATTAGCTGAGAACGCCTGTGGCTCTTCATACCAGTAATATATGTACCTTTCACTGAATCCCAACTTTCAATTACCCCCTCCCATATATTTGATGATATAGCAAAACCCTCATCATAAAGAATCATGCTATAATACAGACTCCATTATACTTTGATTGAATCAGAGCCTGTCCTAGTATACACAGTGATGTAGAGCATCTCTTTTTCTCTAGAACATAAAAAAGAATAATACAAGGCTTCACACCTCTCCCTTACTGCTACTGTAATAGCAGAATTCTTTTAAGTTTTGTAATTAGCTGGTCTTCCTGCCTCTTCTTTCCCCACTCCTAATTGATTCTGCACCAGGGATAGTTGCTCTGAGATGCAGATCTCCCTCATCCCTACCTGAAGTACAGTCACTTAGCCAGGGGCTAGCATAGGGAACAGCAGGCAGGCAGGAGTCGGGAGGACCACCTAGTGCAACCCCACACATTGGAGACCTTCAGGAGAAGAGCCCCGGCTGCTGAGCACCCAATCCAGCCAGCTGTCGCAGGGCAGGAGTCTGCATCCAACCTGGCCAAGCACAGCTTTGAGAGAGGCAGCACATCTGATAGCTGACCCCACATTCTTTGAAATGCTGAGCCTCATGCAGGACACATCTGTGTGCTTGTTCTGACTGCCAATTTGCCCTGGGCAAAGCCGTTATGACCTGACTCTGCCAGACTGTTTTTGCTTTCCACCACTTTATCTTTTTGGACCAAACTGCTTACAGTTCTCCAGCATGCCATACGGCCTCACCTTGATGCCTGTGTACTGTTGTTCCCTCTAGTCGGAATGCCCTCCCTCCCACTTGAACATAGAAAACTCATGTGTAGCCTTCAAAATTCACCTCTAATGTCACCTTAGGGCGGCCTTTCCTTAACCATCCCTACTATGTTCAGAGAAGCCACTGCTTTGCCATTTGCCCCTTTGCTCAAATCTGAGTCTGGAGATGACCTGTAATTCCTCCCTTCTCTGCCCCTCACATTTGTTCTATCAGCGTGCCCCCCCAGCTGTATCTTCTAAATTATATCAGATGTTCACCTCCCTCCACCTCCACTGCCAGCACTCTGCTTTCAGCCACCTGTGACCCACAGAGGGTCCCTGTAGCCTTTTCATTGGTCCCCAACTTCCCTCTTCCCAGCCTGCCACCCTGCTTCACTTCTCCTCACAGGACCTGGAGGGATCTTCTGAAGACAAAAATCCAATGCCACTGTCTTCCTGCCTAATACCCTTCAGTGCCTTCCCACTCCTCCTGTAGTAGCCAAGGTCTGAACTGTGGCCTGCAAAGCCCTGCACGGCCTGCTCTGCCTTTTCGCCTCTGTTTGCCATCCTGGCTCATCCTCCCTCTCACCCACTGAGTTCCAGCCCAGTGGCTTCCATTCAGTTCCTCCAATGCCCCAAGGTCCTTGCCTCTCCAAGGTCCTTGACTCTGAGCGTTCATGTACATTGTTTCTTCTCCTGGAACTCCCTCTCTTCCCCCTGCTCAGAGCATGGCCAGCTGGCTCCTTCCCAACCTTTGAGTCTCAGGTTCAGTGATACACCCTCAGCATTTTCCCTAATCCCCCTGCCTGAAGCAGGGCTCCAGTGCATTCTCCATCACTGCCTCCTATTCATTTTCCTCAGGATCCTCATTACAAGTTGTAATTAGATGATCTGTCTCCTGCACTTGATTGACAAGAACTGGAACCAGTGTCTTGTTGACTGCTGTATTCCTGTTGCCCAGCACAGGGCCTGACAAAGCACTGATGCTCAGATGCTGGTCAGGCCAGTCAGTGAATGAATTCTTCAGAGCATTTCTTTGTATCCTACACAGTCTTTGATTGCCCCCATCCAAGAGATTGTCTCCTGTTTCCTTACTTGTCTGTCTGCTGTTAGACTGTGAGCTCTTTGCAGGCAGGCAGGGACTGTATCCATGTCTGTGCTCTCAGCCCCTGGCACACAGTATTGAGGTCAGTGGACTTTGGTCAATTGATTGCCAGTCCTACTTTTGCACAGATAAGGAAGGACAGATCCTTTACTATTACCATGTGAGTATTGCATGCCTCAAATGATAATTTCTGGTATTTGCACATGTATTGTTAAGTTCCCTACGGTAGTGAGATTCATCATAGAACCAAAAGGCGTCATAAAGTGAGAATCCTTTCTGATGAACTGACCGTTCCAAACATCCTCCCCATTTGACCCTCCATCCTCTGCTGTCTGTGGTTTTGGCAGGTGGATTGTCTTTCTGATGGTCCAGTTGCAATTGATTTGCAAATTGATTCCATTAAGTCAATGAAAGTGATTTTGGAGAACTTAACAAATGTCATGCAAAGCCACTGATGGTAAGGGATCTTGTTAAATGAAGGGGAAAATACTGATCAGGATGATGATATAAGTGTTTCAGAAGATAACGATTTGTGGACCAAAGAGTTGAGCTGCCTAGGAAAAACCGATGGAGTCCTCAAATAGTTTTGTAAAAATTCCTTTTCTGTGATCCGATAGGAGAGTCAAGCATGAAATGAAAGATAGACATCGTATTGTGCTAGCGTATAGTTTCATCAGAAGAATCACAGGTCCTCAATCAACTTCGATTCAGCGTTCATTCAGGAAACTAGCTCCTGGTTGCAATAATAAACCTAATTTTTTTCCCTAACATCAGAGGAAATGAAACTTTTTTTTTTTAAGATTTTATTTATTTACTTACTTATTTGACAGAGAGAGAGATAGCGAGCACAAGTAGGGGGAGCAGCAGAGGGAGAAGAGAAGGAGAGGGAAAAGCCCAGTGAGTGGCTTGGTCCCAGGACCCTGAGATCATGACCTGAACTGAAGGCAGGTGCGTAACTGACTGTGCTACCAAGACACCTGAAATGAAACTGGTTCTCATAATTTCAATTTATTTTCTCAAGAGAGTGCCTTTGTCAGATCTTTTTGTCCCTGTTTGCTATCCTAAACAAATGCATTCACCAATCATCCTTCACTAATAGGGACTCCTGCAGTAGCATGGAGATGGACCCAGCACCATGGACAAATGAGCACCCTAGATACCATAAATACACCATAAATGGAACAAGAACATTTCAAATACATGACAAGAAGGCTTCTTAACTAAAATCTAATAGATACTGTATCCAGTCCTTAGGTGTAGGTATATGAATCGTCACATAGTTTCTCCTGATGACCGTTTGCAGAGGTCAGAGCACCAGGAAGGCACAAACTCAGTTGTCATGTAAGAAATTGTTCTCATGTTAAAAATCAGGAAAACCTGGGATTGAGTATCATCTGGAGCTGGGGTTGACGCTCTGGTCTATCAGCCAAATGCAGCCTGCTGCCTGTTTTTATAAATAAAGTTTTATTGGAACAGAGCCACAGTTATTTACACATTGCCTGGAGCAACTTTCACTCTTCAGTAGTAGAGTTGAATAGTTGAGAGAGAGATGATATAACCCATAAAGCCTAAAATATTTACTGCATGGCCCTTCCCAGAAAAGTTTTTGCCAACCTTGATCTAGAGACAAATTTGGAACAGAGGTGTCCTGATATCCTTTGAGTCTCTCTTTTAAGCAGCCACTTTCTTTCTTTACACCAAAAGGTCATAGAAAGAGTTTCAGTGTCAATAATGGCAGAGTGGCTTGTAGGGGACTAACCCTCCTAGAAGTAACAATTACATGCAAGCCCTGGACAAAAACATTAAAAAACAACTCTCCGAAGGCACTGCCAAATACAGTCAGGGACTGCAAAGGGAATTACAGTGGGT